CGCCATGGCGCCCCGAACTCCCTGATCCGCCCCCGTTGGAACTGTTATGGCGCGGGACGCGCCTTCTGGGAGGGGGGCGACATGTCACGTTTGTTCTGTGTTTCTGTTCTCCCTGCCTTGACCTAGTTTTCCTGTGTTGCTTGATTAGTTCATTAGTTTCCACCTGTGTTCGTTAATCATCCTATTAGTCCATCGTTTGATTTTAGTATTTATAGCCCTGCCTTTCCTCAGTTTCTTTGTCCTGTCTCCGTTGTGCAAAGAGGTTGTTTTCTCCTACATTCCCATGAAGATTAATTAAAGACCCTGTTCGTTTGACTATCTGCCTCCTTTGTGCTCCTTCGAGCTCCCTTTCCCCTGGCAACCCGTGACAATAACATACATGTATACATATATTTTACTTACTGTTATGTACTAAATATACAGTATAGAAAGAGATTTTTAATTATTTTGATAAATTTTTTTATTTGATTTTACTACATATATATATATTATATATATATATATACAACAGCTATTTTTTTTGGTCCTCAAATCTGATTGGCTGAGAGCCTTTTCCAGCGGTGTGATATTCTAGTGATAACAGCACTCCAACCGTTTCACCGTTTGTATCACTCCTGCCAAATTTCTCACAGTGAGTATCATGGCGGACGCCCAAATCCACTATAATTTAAAAATAATACTGTTTTTGTGTCACGTAATGTAGTTTTAAGAGTTTTTTAGGCGAGAATGTACTAGTTTAGACTTCAAATATATGGTTTGTTAATAAAGATAACGTTTATTTGAAAATCTTCTTCAATGTTTTTGGAGATGTGAATCGTGAGAGCAGCCTCACCTCGGCCAGATCTTCTGGAATTTGCAGCTGGCTCTGATGTCTCTGTAGTGGTTAAACATGAGATATAATTAGTTTGGGGTAAATCTAACGGGCAGTCTTTGCTCTCATGTGCTTTACATAAAAGGATAATCATAAAATAATCACAAAAATAAAAGCAAGGTATTTTTAATGGCTTAAAAAATTATTTAAATTGAATTAAAACAGTAAAGAATAAAAGATGAGGACACATAAAATACAGTTCAATCGTTGGGACGTAGCACAGTGCTCATTCAGTAAACAGATGTGTATTGAGTCTAGATTTAAATGAGGCTAGTGTTTAGCACATCTGATCTCTTCTGGAAGCTGGTTCCAACTGCGGGTGGCATAATAGCTAAAAGCGCACTCCCCTTGTGTTGAGTGAACCCTTGGTATTTCTAACTGACTTGCCCCTAATGATCTGAGTGGTCTGTTAGGTTTACGTATATTCAGTGAGCTTATCTGCATGTATTGAGGACCCCTCCCTTGTAAGTATGACCTAAAGACACTCCGTTGTTGATTTTTATTTATTTACACACTTGTTCCGTCGAACTGTTGTATAAACGCAATATCACACTTGTAGCCGTGCGATATGGCTGAATATCAGCACATATATGATTACCTACAGCACTTGTGCGATATACAGCCATATAGCACTGCTATATGGTTATGCTATATGCTATATGCATATATATGCATATATGCTATAACTTATATCATTTTTGTTACCATTTATTTTAATTAACAAAACTGTTTTTAAATAGTTTTAGTTTGGGTTAACTGAAACCTGAATATTGGTAGATTGATCTCGTTTACTAATCACCAATGAAATCTTGTCTCCAGATGAATCAGATCCTCTCAGATCAGGGAACGAACACTGGATCCAACATTACATGGCGAGTCCATCCTGATAGGAAAATCTTCCACCAGACAAACACCACTCAACAGACGCCAACAGCATGTGAAAAGTTTGATCCAGTGTAACAATAGACACTCTGAAATGGATCATATATAATAAAAATAAACAAATGTTTATGAACCTTTGGAGATATTTATGATAAACACCATCATATTTATTTAGCAGTTTATGCATTGATATTGCTAATGGTTTAATACTTTTCATACTGTTATAATTATAATTCATTTAGAAAAAAAGAATGATACTCTAGTATTGGGCTCTTCTAGGTACTAAATAATTTAGTAATTATTATTAACATTTGAAAAAAAACAATTATGTTTTTATTCAATGCATTAAATAAAAGTGTACTCAATTAAAGGACTGAAATTACTCAAGAACAGTTATTTGAGCCACATGTGAGCACAACATTTTCCAGTTTCATTGACAATGCCTAAATTCTACAACCTTAATGAAATCCCTTAAAAAATGGAAAATTGCTGAAGATGGCTTACTCTCAGGCCATCCAAGATTAGGATGAGTTTGTTTCTTCATCAGGTTTGTAGAAATGTAGCACTGCATCAGTGTCTCAGCAATGGATGCTCTGCAGTGAATGGGTGCCGTCAGAATGAGAGTCCAAACAGCTGATAAAAACATCACAATAATCCACAAGTAACCCACACCACTCCAGTCCATCAGTTAACATCTGGAGAAGACAAAAGCTGAAACTAATCCAGCATTAAGACGTTTTTAACTAAAATACCATAGAGTCTATAATCCATAATAACTCTTCCTCCAGTGAAAAAGTGTTCTGGTGTGAATCAGGAGAGAAATCTGCACAGATCAAGCAGCGTTTAAACAGCTCTAAACAAATATGTGGCTGGATTTTGATGTGACAGATATCATCATATGGCTAATTTTATTTAATTTGACTTTGCTATTAAAAATAATGCTTAGAAGAGGAGCAGACGTGGTGTCTGAGCATCACCTGGTGGTGACCATACATGTCAGACAAAAGAGTGAAATATAACATCAGCCTTCTGAAGGACTCCGAAACCAGAGCAGATCAGGAACAGGTTTGAAGTACTACAAGAACTGCATGAAGAATACAAAATACTCTTTAGATGGCAGCCAGTAAAAGAGGCCCTTAGATCAGAATGCCAGGAAGTACTTAGGAGTCAAAAAAAGAGTGGATTACAGCTGAGACCTTGACCAAGACAGAAGATAGGAAGAAGAAGAAGAAGAAGAAGAAGGGAGCACAGTCAATAGCAGCAGGACTAGAGCAGTGATGTGAGTGGACTGGCATCATTCAGCAGCAACATGCAACTGTATGACAGTGGGCAGTCGTGGCCTAATGGTTCGAGAGTCGGACTTGCAACCCAAAGGTCGTAGGTTCGAGTCTAGGTACCAGCAGGGATACTTGGCCACACATCACAATCACAATCAATGAACACACATTTGAGCCTTTTAATGTCGGTTGGCAAATCTACTGGAAGGCGCATACTGCCACCTACTGCACGACACCGGCATGACATAAAAATAAGGATCGGACCACTGATCTATAATATAGAACTGGATTGCTCATGACGTCATAAAAGTGAATCCACTGCGCCGCATAATATTCCGTTACATTCTATTGAGAAAACATCACCTAACGAGTCTGCGTTTTTATATCTGAAGAATCCCTGTACATCTTGGGGTGGGGAAGTTGTGGCCTAATGGTTAGAGAGTCGGACTCGTAACCCAAAGGTTGCGAGTTCAAGTGTCAAGTCCGGCAGGAATTGTAG